AATAAATAAAGATGGGCAATATAATAAAGAGCACTAGTACAAGACAATTCTCGAAACAAAAAAATATTTAGAATATAAGAGTAGCTATGTCCAAAATCCAAATTCAACTGTGTCGCTATTATTCATTTCTTGTGGCGGCTGGGGAGTTTGACTTTCTCCGTCTCCCTTGCTGCCTCAAATTTTTTTTTTTTTTAACCTTCTTCTGTCGTTAATTAATTGCTCAGGCGGGAGGGCCGTCGTTAATTAATTTATGAATAAATGGGAAAGAGTTTTCAAAAGGTCTTAACCAATTTTCAACGAAAACTGAACAAATAGATTGACAAGAACTTGGGTAGACAATCAGATAGTTTGCAATTTAACCGAGAAATAAGTACAATTTTTGGAGGAAAAAAAGGTACAGTTTTTGAAACCAAAAGGAGAAAAATAAAATGTTAAGTCATGACGACCGAGTGTGTTAAAAAATGATATAACCGTTTGGATTAGCCGTTTTTTATGGTGTTTTTGAAAAAAACTTTACTGTAACAGAGTTTTTAGAGTATATTTTGGAATATTTTTAAAAAATATTTTGGGATATTTAAAAGTATAAGAGTTTTTAGAATATATTTTGAGATATTTTTTAAAATTTTAAAAAAATTTAAACTAATTTTTAGATTACCGTACTTTTTAAATTTTTTTATTATAGTTCAAAAAATAAAAAAAAATTTAAGAATATATTTGTGATACAAATAATGGCCAGTTCAAACCTCTTTTGAATTGAAAAGGATAATTGATTTCACTATCTTAATGTCGCATCAGAACTTCTCAATAATACCCCAATACCACATCTGAGTTTCCTATATTACCCTCCAAGTTCAGCTTCGGGCATGGGACCAATCATTGTATTGTAAGGGAGATTTTGGTAATTAACACTAAATTTGATATGGCATTAAAATTTGACAGTTTTCTTTTCTTTTATGTCAATTCTCCATGCAACATATTCTACGTTTCTGCTTTTTCTTCAATACCATGAGCATTTGCTTTTCTTTTCTTTTCTTTTCTTTTCATGGACAGGGATCTAGTCCCTCTTCTCCTTCTCGACCAATTGTGTCATTTTGTATATATATATTGGAAGATATATTTGATCCGAGTGTAAGATAAATGTTTCACAATATGTTGAAAATGAAAAGATTTAAATTTTGTTCATATTCATTAGTGATTTTATATGTAAATTTGAACTCTCTCATGAAAAGTTGTGTTATAACCGTACCCATTAGACTACTTCAATTCGTGTTATAAAATTTTCCTCTAAACCGCTGAAATTAGGTAGAACGTATTTTCTGGGTGATGTACTGAACGGATCACATATGAACGACTGCAAAATAAACCAATAAAATTTTTTAAACTCTTTTGACATCTACAGAACTTTAATAATACACGCTATACAAATCTTTAAGGCATGAATTTTTTTTTTTCGAGTCAATTCCGATAACTTCCACCTTTTTTTTTTTAAAAAAACCCACTTTCGCTTGGACCTTACGTCTCTCTTTCACAGTGTTCAATTGCAGTTGTATATGTTAACAAAGACGACTGATTAAAGCAAAGAACAGCTCTAGCAAATTTGGTTTTGAGTTCCTTGCGATCGGTCGAGTTCCGCTTTTGAAATAGCATAGCCGCAGGGCCCCCTTCAACTTTTCATCATTCGGATGCTTCCACACATGCATAATTATTCATGTCACCTTCTGAAATTATTTTCTAGCTGCTGAAAACACGAGTCCTGTCCTGCTCTACGCTTGCACGGCATTGAAACCCTGCACGCGAAAGCAAGCTAAATAAAAATTTTACAATTTTGTAATTTAACGCGAAGAAGAATGCTGCCTCTTTTCCCGCGACGGATGGGAAATGGTGTTTGGTTGAAACAAACGTAGGCAATTACGAAAATAACAGTTGATGCCATATGTCAGAATTAGAGAGTTTTGTGATGTAGGAGAGTATGTAGCTTTCAACTCTGCTGTGGTGGAGGCCGGTATCCACTTATATCATATGCAAGTGGAGAGACGTTTGATTAGCTTTTAAATTCTGTTTCAATACGTATTATATTTATTAGGATTTCAACTTATCAAGTTGTACTTTTTTAAGTTCTAACCTAATTCTGGTTAAAGGATAAGCCGGGAACACAAATTTTCTTTTTCTTTTTCTTTTTGTTAATTAGAATTAGAGAAACACAAATAAATTTAATTGGTAGGTTAAACATATTATCTCACTTGCTACGACGAGTATTCCATTTTCTTCAAACCGCAGACGAAAATATTTTCAGTACCCTTGAATCTTCCATTGTATGGATGCGGGAAAAAGCTTTTGACTATGGCCGGCATATTCTTGCCAGTTAACTTTTGGATCTAGACAAATGCTGCCGTCTTACGTGGAGATTCATGGCATTTGTGCTTCTGGAATTTCAAGACTCAAAACATTAGAATTGGTCTTTCTGTGGTGACAATTTACTATTTTTTAAACATGTTTACACCGTAATTACACGTCCTTAGTGGCTTTTTTTTAAAAAAAAAATTTTGGTCTGAGATTATAAGGAGATTGCAGCCCGCGTGCGTATGTATGTATAGGTTTGGAGCAGATACAATTGGTTTTAGGTACAATTTATATGATTATTGTATTTTGCTCTATAATTTGATGTATACACATAAATTATTTTATTATATTTTATGACGTACAACAAAAGTTACATGATCGTACTTCATATACACCAAACTTATGTGAGTTTATATCAAATTACGAAGAGTGTACGATAAACTTGTTAGACGGTCGTACACTCAGAGCAACTCCAACGGAGTTGCACGAGAGGTGTAATGATGGGTTGGTTACACGGCCACCTATTGTGGCCGTGTAATACCCATTATATGCATCATCCTGATGACACGTGTAATGGGTGGGCCACCCATTAAAAAATGTCGGACTCCTTCAAATTTTGCCCAGCAAATGTTGATGATTTCAACGTTAATTTTTTTCAACGGTACACTAAATTTGCATAATTATTTTTAGAAAATAAAAAATTCTATAATAATTAGATTGCAACAAGTATCATAATTTGTTTGCATAATTATTTTAAAAAAATAACAATATATTATTTTTGAGAGATAGCAAAAGATATATTGTTCAAACTTAAAAATTAATAATATTATTTTTAGAAAATAAAAAAATTCAAAAGATAAAAAATCTAATGAAAGTTAATACTTTATTTTTAAAAAATAACAAAATTATTTTTAAAAATTACTTTATTAATTTATGGGATATGAGTTATGCATTATTAAAATAAACATGTGATTTAATTGTGGACCCATGCTATTACACATTATGGAGTATAATCCATTGCGAGTGAAAGTATAATAAAAGAGGAGAAAGTAGAATGCTGATGTGACATGTGTATTACACTCTAAAGAGCGTAAATCACTGTGATGCACTTGTATCTACGTAACATTTAAACAACAAAATTTATTTCCACGTGAAGATATGTCTGACACGTCCTTTTTATGCTATCAAGATATGTCTGACACATGCCTGCGGTTAAATAGCAGGAAATCAACCGGTAGATTGTGAATTAAATGTTACGGATATTCGATTCCTGATGAGTGGATGTCAAAAGTGATACAAACGTAGGATTAACCTGTTTTGGTTCAACAGAAACCTTATACAAATAGTAGGGCAGTACTTATTTAGGATGTGTTACATGTGATTATGAATAAATTTTCCCACAATGATGTGTACGTAGATACAATAACTCAAAATTTGATTTTAAGTGCTTCCTTGTCATTCATACAAAATGGTGAAGTTGCAAAAAAAAAAAAAAGTGCATTACTTGCTTCATTTATTTGTTGTTGAAAAGGCTTTTCGTAGACAATTAGATAGTGCATTATTTGGTAGGAAAAAAATTCAAGCGTGTCTGACTCCTATTATCATTATGAGTCAAATCATTCCCTTTGAAATTAAAGTCACTTATAAGAGTTCATTTATCAATAAAATGCTCGTACCGGCATCAAGATTAGAATGCACAACCCTTTGGCCTTTACTTGACAAGGGAGCGGTCGGTCCTTTTCTCGACTTATATCGGCGGCAATGTTCCTTTTTTGCTTCCTTGCTAAAGGCTCGTAAGCCCTCGTCAATTCCGTCTGATTTTGGCGCGTTTCCGCATTTATGGCACGAACATTTGAGGCGTAACACTTGCGTAATTAATTTGGCAAACTAATTGTAACACTTGTCGTTGATTCTGCCACGTTCCAGCATTTTTAGCTTAAAAAATTGAAACACTTGTCATTGAGCACTAAAATGAGTAGAGTTCATTCGACTTGTATAATATAATATACGAGAAGTAATACTAATCCAAATAAATTCTCCGTTCTAAAGTTTTAGATCTTGTGTTTGGGTTGTCTTTTTTGAAAATTTTATAAAAAAACATGTGATGTAATAATTTAATATATGTTTGATGAAAATGTATCTATGAAAAATGTAAACATTTTTTTTGGTTAAAAATTTACAATCTAAGCAAAAAGTGTCGTGCCTGCTGATGACCCACGAGGATTAGAATCAAAGGTACGGCAACTTTTGATTGCAGCACCTAATAATTTGACATCATCGTTCCCAGTCCCCACACCTCGCACAAACCATGATGACAAAATAAGTTAATCAATTTCAACTTATATATTGGCAAATTTCCCGCTCACCAAACCCGCCCACCTACTTCCCTTTGCAAGTTTCAACTCCCTTATCGTTCCCCCTACCATTCTCGCCCCTCGCCTCTATCTTCCCTTCTCGACGTCCAAAAATTCTGACGCCGTCAAAGGCCCACCCACCTTCACCGACCCCACTTACTACTTACTACTACCACTCCATCCGCCACCTACCTCCTCCAATGAAAAAGAGAAACCACAAAAAAAAAAAAAGACAACTAGACAACTGCCCCCCAACCCTGCTATAAATTATAGTCACTCCGGCACCAATTCCACTCCATCACCCAACCCACTCAACCAAACCAAACCTCCCACTCTCAGTTGATTCCATCACAAACCGCCCTCCACACCGTCATGGATCTTCTCCTGCTAGAGAAGACCCTTTTGGGACTGTTTGCAGCCATCATAGTTGCCATCGTTGTTTCTAAATTACGGGGCAAGAAATTCAAGCTCCCTCCAGGCCCAATCCCAGTTCCCATTTTCGGAAACTGGTTACAAATTGGTGATGATTTGAACCATCGCAACCTCACTGACTACGCCAAGAAATTTGGAGAAATCTTTCTTCTGAGAATGGGCCAGCGCAATCTTGTGGTGGTATCATCCCCTGAACTTGCCAAAGATGTCTTGCACACCCAGGGGGTGGAGTTCGGCTCCCGCACCAGAAATGTGGTGTTTGATATATTCACCGGCAAAGGCCAGGATATGGTCTTCACCGTCTACGGCGAGCATTGGAGGAAGATGAGAAGGATTATGACTGTCCCCTTTTTCACTAACAAAGTTGTTCAGCAGTATAGGCACGGTTGGGAGGCAGAGGTTGCCCGTGTCGTGGAGGATGTTAAGAAGAACCCTGAATCCTCCACCAATGGGATTGTCTTGAGGAGGAGGTTGCAGCTCATGATGTACAATAATATGTACCGAATCATGTTTGATTACCGATTTGAGAGCGAGGATGATCCTCTGTTTAATAAGCTTAAGGCTTTGAACGGAGAGAGGAGTAGGCTGGCTCAGAGCTTCGAATATAATTACGGTGATTTCATTCCCATCTTGAGGCCTTTCTTGAGGGGTTACTTGAAGATCTGTAAGGAGGTTAAGGAGAGGAGACTGCAGCTGTTCAAGGATCACTTCGTTGACGAAAGGAAGTAAGTTTTAGTTTCTGAACTTTTCTCTTCATACATTACTTATCTGAAACTCCATTGATCTAATGTAGTTCGATTAACATAAGTAGCACTTTTTTTTTTTTAAAAGTCTCCTAGATTAACTAAGGATATATTTATTATTTGGAATAATTACTGTAGAGTATTATTTGGATAGAGTATGTATTATGATTGATGGAGTATTTAGGGAAAACCCTTTTCTGGAGATGTGCTAATAAAGAAAAGTTTAGGAGTTTCTGGATTCTGACCTGTAAATGCATCTTAGCCCTTAGGAGTTGGGATGTCTAGTTTGATCCAAGAATTTTTTTTTTTTTTTTTTTGGCTCAGTGAATCTTTTTGTCTTATGCATTTGTTGTCCTTTTGACGTCGGGTCGGCTGATTCGTGTTCAAACTTTCTAGCGATATTTCGTTTATGCGTTTGACCGTGACAACCTCTCACAAACAAAGAAAAGATAAGCGTTGCTTGTTTATTTAACTAGAAAAAACAAAATTGGTACTTCTTGCTGTAATATGAGGTATGGATAGCTTGTGGGAATGTTTTCCTAGGACTTGGAAATGATTTGTATTATATTTTTTTCAACAAACAGAAATGAAGTATGATTATTAGTTTTCCATTTTTTTTTCTTTCAGCCTTGCTTGTTTTGCAGCACAAACTGGAATCAAATGAATAGTCACAGTCTTAATAGCTTGGCTTCTTACTTTGTATTTTTGGGTTGCAGGAAGCTTGCAAGCACAACAAGCATGGATAGCAACAGCCTAAAATGTGCCATTGATCATATTCTTGAAGCACAGCAGAAGGGAGAGATTAACGAGGACAATGTCCTTTACATTGTGGAAAACATCAATGTTGCCGGTAGGTTAACTTCTCACTTCATTAACTTTTTCATCGATGTTACCCAGCCCCACTTTGGATCTTTTTATGAACTGTTTTCTTTGGATAAGCGCCCTTTCATCTTAGATTAGATGGCCATTAGTTTATTAGCAGTAGCGCACTAATAGAAGCATCCTACTCAGCCACCAACCACCAAACGTGTAAGTAAATGAAATCCAATGATTATGAACCACTTTTTACTTAAACCTTTTCGGCTGGAGTTGACGAATTGCTGGATAAGTAACTAATGTTTGGTATACCTTTTTTGTGTTTCCGCCTGTAAAAGAATGTAGTAGTGGATTATATGATTGTCAAATGAAACTGAAATAAAGATCATGTACATGAAGCAATCCTGTCACATTTTTATGCCAACATTTACCTTTTCTGAAAAAAAAAAAGGGTTTCTTACTCAGAAGTAGAAGGCTAACATGCACCTTTTACTCAGAAGTAAAAGTTTCTTAAATTTGGCCTTCTCTGGAAGATCTGGATGTCATTTGCAGAAATTTCTCATCTACTGCAATATTCATTTCTGATGCTGTGATTCGGCCTCTGTTTTCATCGATTCCCTCATCAATTAAAATTGTCTGGCCAAGTTTGTTGTGCATCATCAACACTAGAGAAGCTGTAGAATTATACTTCTCTGTCTGTTTCTCACTCTGATTAGTCTTGTTTTATTTTTTTATTCATTTCAAATTATAGTACACTTTTTAATTGAAGAATATATTTAATTTTTAACTTCTCTAAATACCTTTATTTAATGTACTTTGTTATTAGTTAGTGTAACCTACCTTCTTCAACAATTACTTTGATTCATGCCTTGAATGGTGCAACCTTGGACTGGAATCACTACTTAACTTACTGGGAGTGCTTTACAATCTATAAAGAATTCTGCTCATCTTTATGCCCACAATATGATTTCCTTTTGCCTGAAATGAAATTTGATGAAAGGAGTAGAACATCTAAGCATGATTGAAAAAAGATCAGATGACACACTTGGGATTTTTACTTTCCGAAACTTGAAACTCTGCGACGACTTTGAAGTACTAAATAAATTTTCATGAACAGCTATTGAGACAACGTTGTGGTCAATTGAATGGGGCATTGCGGAATTGGTAAACCACCCACAAGTCCAGAGGAAACTGCGACAAGAGATTGATACCGTGCTTGGACCTGGTGTGCAAGTCACTGAACCCGACACCCTCAAACTACCATACCTTCAGGCTGTGGTCAAGGAGACCCTCCGACTTCGAATGGCAATTCCTCTTTTGGTGCCTCACATGAACCTCAATGAAGCCAAGCTGGGCGGGTATGATATTCCTGCCGAGAGCAAGATTTTGGTCAACGCTTGGTGGCTCGCAAACAACCCAGAGAACTGGAGGAAGCCAGAGGAGTTCAGACCAGAGAGGTTTTTGGAAGAGGAGTCTAACGTTGATGCCAATGGCAACGACTTCCGATATCTTCCATTCGGTGTTGGAAGGAGAAGCTGCCCTGGAATCATCCTTGCATTGCCAATTCTTGGTATCACTTTGGGACGCTTGGTGCAGAATTTTGAGCTGTTGCCTCCTCCAGGGCAATCCAAGATTGATACCGCAGAAAAAGGTGGACAATTCAGTTTGCACATTTTGAAGCATTCCACCATTGCCTTGAAGCCAAGATCCCTCTAGACGTGATTGTAACTGTGTGATAAAATCGGTTTATTGCAAATTACATTAAAATTGTCAGTGTGTGATTTTGAAACTCTTTTAATGTGTAGACATTCGTTCACAATCTATGTATTCGCAAAGACGTTTTTGCCATAAATCTGTCGTACAATCAGGATCTGATATAAGCATTACCGAAGTCAAAGAACAGCATGCCTACAGCCCATTACGTTTTAACTTTCTGAACTTTTTACCCTTTCATGTACTGCATCAACTAAATGGCTAAAGATTTGCTGTCCAGCACCCAGCCCCCAGCCCAACTATCACCCCGAAAAAAAATGAAAATAAAAATTTAAAAAGGAAGAAGAAGATGATGATGCAGGGAGACGAGGTCTAGGATTTAAGTATTGGTCGTTCTATGGGTTTTTTTTTTCTTTTCTCCTTCGTCCTTTGGGTCCGATATATCATTTCACGCGTCAAATATCATGGAACATAATTGTGTCCTTGTCGGACGGTACTAAATCATTCTCAGTACCAAACTCTCGACTCATGACGCTAACTAGGGGTCTCTTCCAAGTTTGCATGGAATCATATGATCAACGAGTTCTCTCCTGCCACACTTTCTCCTTCGGCAGGAAAAAAGGGCTATTATTGTCACCAGGCACGGATTTAAGGGGGGGCTGGTGGGGGCTTAAGCCCCCCCAAGCCGCCGGAAAACCCCCTGTATAGTAACAAACATTCACGTTCTACATATAAACAAAAGGAGACAAAGAAAAACAATTATCAATTCTTCTGTAAATTTTGAATGTAGAGTCAGTTAATAATTAACATAGAGGTGAATGTGATGATGTCTTGAGCCACGAATTCCAGATCCTGTTGCTCTGATTTTGGTGACCCCACTGACCCGCAAATTTTGAATGTTGCCCACAGGCTTGCATATGGACAGATAGTAGTATAGTACATGGAATGAATATATTCTTGTTTTGTATTTCTATTCTAGTACACGTCCCGTGAAACCGAAATTGTTATAGACCTCTTGTTTCTAGTCCTGTCCATTTCAGGCATTAAACTAAATTATTTTTTACTGCTTCGTTCAGATTCAGGGATTTGACGAAAAATTTAAAGTTTTTTTAAATTGTATCAATAAATTGGGACGTAATTGAATTTTTTAAATGTGCAGAAACTACTCCGTCTTGCTGATTTATATCCTGAAGACTTCTCAAGTAACGATTATTTATATCTTGAGTCTCAACTTCGAAATTATATTTATAATGTGCAACGCGATCCTCAATTTTCAGAAGTTGGAGATTTGGGAAGTCTTGCTCAACAAATGGTTAAAACTGGTAAAAATACAGTTTTTCCATTGGTTTATTGTTTGATCCAGTTGGCATTAGTTCTACCAGTTGCGACTGCTTCTGTTGAAAGAGTATTTTCTGCAATGAATATTGTCAAGACTGATTTGCGCAACAAAATGGGAGACGAGTGGATGAATGACTGTCTGGTTGTATACATCGAGAAGGATATTTTTGCAACAATTGAAAATGAGCAAATATTGCAGCGTTTTCAACGGATGAAGACTCGCAGAATGCAATTGCCTCCTCTTCGTTATTCGAGTGCAACAACTACCAATACTTCAAGTGTTAATCAATAACAAATTTTTGGGTATGTATAATTATATGTTTTTATTATTTTTATAATTATTGATTCTAAATTTTACTTATTAAATATATTTATTTCGTCACAAAAAAAATTTTTAATACACTTCAGCCCCCCAAAAATAAATTTCTGGCTCCGTCCCTGATTGTCACCATCTGCCATCTACCAATGTGCTAGTTGTGTAGTCATCCGCCACCCACTGGCTCAATCAACACTTCTAATCTCAGATTTGCTCGACTTCACCGTGCAAGCAATACCAACAGCTTTAGAGCTGCCCAGTCTTTTTCTGAGACTTTTGACTCAGTATTCAAGTGTCCAATTTTGATCAAACCATCCGCCAGTCCTCATCCCGCACGCACAGCATGTTCAGCAAGCTTTAATCATTCCGGGTACGGTGCAAACAACTTGTTCAATTCCGAGTATTATATGGTAATGATTTATCATTCATACGATTTATCAGTTGAGCTGATGGATCATCAATCTAACGTTCCAAATTGGAAAGAGTGCAGAGTTTGTTTGGACAGCTGCTTATTTTCTCAAATATATTTGCTTACATCATCATTACAATTTTTAATACATCTTTTTATATTCTCAATTACCTTTTTATCTCATATACATCACTCTCATATACATCACATCACAAAAAGTACTACAGTAAAAATATCTCAAATAACTTACAAACCTACGTATTAGATCAATATCAACTGATATTCCCCAAAACCTGATTAATGACGCATTTAAAACCCCATTAATCTTTTTTTTTTTTGAGACACGATAATTTCTATTTTATATCCACTCCTATTCTATACTAAAAAGAAAGAGAGTGAACCAAGAGAAAACCGAAGGGACTATCTAATGGTGGATCAAATGGGTGCTAGTGAAATACAAATCAAGTGATTCGATCCCTTAATCTGCACCACCACCAGAGAGCCTTCCTTGAAAGGCTTCCCCCAACTACCTACTCCAAAGGTAGTTGTAGTTGGTAAAGAACTCTGTACAGATAAAAAGCTGCTCATTTTACAAAATGTACAAACCCAAAAAGTTTTAAAACAAAAAAAATGAGCACAGGTGTAGAACTTGATTCAATTTTCTTTTCCTCTTCAAAAACATCAACATAAGATAGGAACTGAACAAAGTCACAGAATTGAAGATGTGGGTCTAATCCAGGCCCCCAAATCATTTAAGCATCAGAGAGAGCAGACATGACGACCCTTTCATTCTCTGTGCACACTACCATGCTTCCTTCATTCTATTTTATCCAGAGCATCGGCTTATTGTACACAGATCGGATCCCGTCTAATCAGTTCTAAATCTTTTTTAGAAAATGGTCAAAATTCACGTTCATAGTACAAGCACAAAGATTTCCAGCCAATAATTCAAAAAAAAAAAAAGAATAGAAAATTAAAGAAAACAGTAGTTCCCGTTGTCCAGAAAAATTTCAGCAGAACAAGAAATTGAAGCGCCACTTGAAAAGATTGTAGCTAACAACAGTAGAAGACGACTTGAAGAAATTCGCAGCTGCCCGTCTTTCACTTCCAGCCCGAATTATTTATAGCCAAGATTTGGAGCAGAATGCTAGGGTTACATTTATTTACCAAACCGCCCCTATTTAGTACTAAGAATAACACAATCATCCTGGTTTCTACCAAATGGACCCATACGCCTTAAAAAAAAATTGCGACCAATGTCGAAGCTAACTTCAAAGCGGGTCCAAATTCTAAGTTGAAGTCCAATATAGACTGACGAAGCCCATGAAGCTAGAAGACCCACAATTGCAAGCTAGAGCATCAAAATTATTAGCAGTGGAGAGCGGGGCAGAGTAAAATGATTTTGTGCATTTCAATAAAATGTAATCATTCATTTTGTTCAAGAGGTAAATCAGTTTTAATATAATGCAAACTTGGTTTTTTTTTTTTGGGTTAGTCCCATGCATGTTAAATTTGAAGCACATCTTATAATTTGAGCTATATATATATATATATATATATATATTGGCCAATCAAGGTAGTAAATTTTTCAAAAATCAAATAATATCGTTCCTGCCCCCAAATTCGAGTGATGGATCGTTGGTCCAAAAAGTCTCTAGAACAGGGGAAGGCAGAGAGCCAAGTACTTTTCCTGCTATTCTTCATTCATAAATCCAGCCTATTTTAGGGTAATGACTGCATTTCTAATCCATCCAACCCATTATCAAATGATAAGGAAGATAAAAGAGTAATGATATCCTCTGCTGAGGTGAGTCTAAACTAAAAAGCACGTTCAATATTAATCACGGCTCAAAGCAATCTCCAAGGCCAAATCATATTTTTATTGCCACCATATAAGCAAACATTACATACTCCAACAGAAACCCCCAAAAAAGAAAAAAGAAAAAAGAAAAAAAGTTACATTGCATTTGAAATGGAAATTGCATCAGCTGCATTAACCTCCCTTTTATTCCTCAATCCTCGTAAAGTATCCATCCAATCCGGCTATGCTAGACCCATTCTCTGCATCATTGGCAACATGAAGTCATAGACCTTTTTAGGGTCAGGGAGAGAGCTGGAGACACTTTCCCTTTCCCTGCATCTCTTGACCCATTCGACAAGCTGTGGAGTCTCAGCCTCCACGCTGAAGTTGGCAACATTCTCCAAGGTATAAAACCAGATAGAAAAGGGTAAAAGAGCTATATCCACAAAGCCGAATGAATCACCACCGAAGTAAGTCTTGTCTCCCAACACTCCCTGCAAAATCTTCAAAGCTTCTATAAATTCCGTCTTCGCTTTCTCCCGCTCCTCCCCCTTGTTCCCCCATATATTCCTTGAAGATACCTACATTCCAAGCCCCAGAATTATAGTCAATATATTTGTTCTAAAGTTTACCAGGAGTTCAGGCGATTCTCGAAAATTATATTACGAAATTCCTTAGGAGAAAAGCTAAGAGCAATTATCAGTGCTTGTTCATTCCTAGATTTTTTGAACCGTCCAAACATTATTATTATTAGCAGGGATATGTAAACAGGAGACCACCGGAGAACCCATATAGGCAGCATAATATAGATTGGGATATAACCTGATTAGAACAAGGGAACAGCAATTAAAAAGAACAAAAAGTTGAGAGGATGTAATAGTAACCTTCTTATCAATGTAATCAGCCCAGAATCTGGCTTGGGATCTTTGGTAAGGATCGGCGGGGAGCAATGGAGGTTTGTGATTCCACACTTCATCAATGTACTCAACAATGTTGAGGGATTCACAAATGGGCTTGCCGTTGTGAATCAGAACTGGGACGGTTTTGTGAAGCGGATTCATCTCTAGAAGCAGGCTACTTTTCTGCTTATAAACGAAGTCTTCTTCCTGAGCTTGGTACTTGATCCCCTTCTCGGCCAATGCAATTCTTGCCCTCGTCGCGTAAATGCTAACCCATAAATCTAGCAGAATCACACTACTCTCTTCCATTTTGCCAAATTTCACGGGCTATAATGCTATATTTGTGCAATCTGCGAGTTATATAGGGAGCCTGCTGCTGGGACCAAATGCATCGAATGTGGACATTACGGTTCAATACATCGAGTGCAAATCAGTACATACATTGTATATTGACTTGTTTTCTAAATACATAATCCAGCCCGGTACGACAATGGAACCGATTGGCCAGGTGGTCCGGATCTCAAGTCGGGCCCAATCTCTAGTTTGATCGGATGAAGTGTTGACACAATCAAACTTATTTAACCTGCTGGTTCAATCAGAAACTCGTCCAATTTTTTAGTTTACTCATACTATGTTTTCTTAAAAAAAAAATTTTTGGTCTTTGTTTTTGAAATTATATATATATATACTTTTGACAATATTTGTATATTGGATATTCATCTAAATATGCATAAGATTTTACCACTTGTTTAGTTTTTATTTGATAATTAAATTTTTTAAAATAAAATTGTTTACTTTTTTATTATATAATTAATCATTTTAACTTTAAAACTGACAATATTTGAGTAGTTGAAAATTTATTTTATTTTAAATAAAAATAAAATAATAAAAAATGATACTATATCTTTGGAAACAAGTGACACAATTTTATTTTATATTTGACTATATTATTTATTTATGTAAAAGTATGATGAAATGAAATGAAATTTTCTATTATTATTTATATGTTCATTATATATCTTTCTAAGTACGATAATTAGTATTTAAAATCACTTCATTAAATATTTTATATATATATTAAAATTATTATTTTATATTTATAAATATTAAACTACTACCCACTCACCGGTTCAATCAGCGGTTCACTGATCTAACGAGTGACCTATTGATCTGATCCTCTGTCGAGTCGAATTTATTAACTTTGACTACATTGAGAGTTTAATGCCCTCGAAGAACCATTGCGGAGTGCACAGCGTATATGGGCCATGCTGCATCGGTCACCCGCCCCACAAACAAAAGTCCAATCCGGCAATCGCCGCCATATACAAAATGCGAAACTCGTTCCTTTACTTTTGGGAATTTGTGTCAAACTCGTTGATGGCCACGAAGGATACTTTCAAGATCATGATACAGATGATTGTTCGCATGCATTCGGGGACGAAAAATCTTCTCATTGTGCGGTGAAGATTTTGATGAACCGCGTCAATTTCCACACAGCCAAGCCCTTGTCCATATTCAATCAGCGGTGCCGAAATATCTCATTGTCGACTTGTACAAGTTCGTTTTCCCCAACAAAAGATTTATAAAAGTCACAGCATATAATTTTCTCAACTAGGATAAAGCAAATTCAGATTTTCACACCATACAAAACCTTTATTCGGTACTATTTTTAGTCATGACTAAAGACTTTCACTTATTTTGTCAATAATTAGCTTTACTTGATAAGCTTCGCCACCCCCCTTTAGAATAATAATAAAGACAAATATGTATCCAAAATTGAATAGCACTACCTCCACTCGCAACAACCCCCCCCCCCCAAACCAAAAAAAAAGAAAAAGAAAAAAGAAATAGCACTATCGGTTTGATCCATTTGAATTTGAACATTTTAAGGCCCGTGCTTAACTCTTTATTGGATTTTGTGGTGAAAAAATAAACTAGTATAAGCCAACCCAACCTCATTAACAATCCTAATTGTTAGCAAGAAAAATAATCTCATAACATGTATAATTGGAAAAAATGGCAGAATACAACTATTTATGAACTAAGTTATAGTTCATTATTATTATTATTATTTATTTGCACAACTTCACAATAGTAGCGTGAATTCAATTACTGTTCATGTGAAAACCATAAATGATATTCAATTATTGTTACGGAACTATACAAGTAGTTAATAATGAATTACAATTTGGTCACAAAATTTTACATCGTTCATGAATAGCTTGGCCATTTTATGGGTGAATGTGGCAAAAAAAGGTTCATGGAAACTGATATCGACATACGCAATGAACTTCATAGAATTATTCTCCAAAAAAAAAAAAATCATAGAATTTGTAAGACTTATTTATCCTTGACCTACGGAATTGAAATATATGCCAAGTTACTCAATACTTAAGAAGCCAAGTTTGTCTCCTTAAAATTCACTAACTAATCAAACAAAATATAATCATAACTTAGTTGTGCTAAAGTAAAGTGATTAGTTAACAAAATTTAGTTTATATTAATGGAAAAAGCACACCGTACAAATTAAGGGGAAAAAGTTTTTTTTTTTAATCAATGAAATTGTTAGAAGTTTTATTTTATTTTTGTTGCAAACAATACGTCGAGTGGTAGCTGCTTAAAGGAATAAAACACTTCAATACGTCATAGTAATTGGAAACGTTCAGCACGAAATAACTCCCGCGTCCCCTCTCACTTAAACAAGGAGTACAAACTGATGCTTCTCTCCGCCGGCATTTTGATAGAAAGCGGCATAATCTCTCCGGTCGATCTCCTGCTGTCCTGCATTTCGGTTTCTATTTGGCGGTGAAATCACCGCCTAGGTAATTTACGACTCCGGAAACCTCCCTCAAATTCTGTTTAACTACTACCGAGACCTTCCCCGCTACATACTCGCGTCTACGTGATTGCTTCCGGATTGTGATCGATGCCTATGGAATTGAAGTAATTAAGTTCTTAAAAGCGAAATAGCTAACCAGTGATTCGTTAGGTTTTAGAGAATATCCTGATTTTACATCACCAAGTTTGTTATTGTAACAATCAAGGACCCAAGTAAATTTACTGTACACTAGTTCCCGTTTGATTTCAACTGCTTGCATTGATACAGAATTTCGATTCGTGAACACAAGAAGTAGAAATGATGCCTATCTGTTATTTTCGTTAATAAGCTAGTGTAGCTGACTAATTTTTTTTAATTACTAATTTCACATTTTGGCAAGCTTTGTGTTTGAAATTGAACTCAGAGCTTAATTATATATGGTGCTATTGCCAGAGTTGCTGGTATTAAGTTATTTCCCCGTAGCTAGTCTCATTGTCTTGGTTTACTTATTTTTTCCAGCTTTTGGGTGTTTGTATAGGTTGTGGCTTTAGAAAGATATTTGAATATTCAAAAATGTTGCAATGGATGGGCGGATCTCGGCGGAAAGTGACTTCCGTAAGTCTGATGTCGTATTAGATTTTATTTTGTTAATTCTTAGCGAAAATTTCTTTTCTTTACTTTTTTGAATTGTAAACGTTAGATTAATCTTGAAAAACGGTCAAAATTTCTGCCACTGTTTCCTGTTAAAAATTCTCGATTAGGAAATCATTTCAGTTTTGTTTCTAGAAAGTAAAAAGGGTGAGACATGCATGAGCACAAACATGTAAAACAAGATCATGAAGCTGTATTGCTTGAAAAATATTGCACTTTCGAGTGAAGTTGCATTCAACAAGTCAGATTGCGTTTAAAATTTGTTAACCATTCACAACTTTGCACTTTTAATAACAAAAAATTTAAAAAGATGAAAAGTTTTTGAAACAATTGCTTGCATCTAAGATATTGAAAGTCCTATATGATTGTACTATAACATCACTTATATAGATTGACAAGGTGGAACATCTTTGAGCTTTTTTATGTGCAGTTCAACATGTTAATCTTTTTGTCCTCCTCTCCATTTCATATATGGGTGAACAAAACCTTCTGATTCTGGGGCGTGCTGAAATTTCAGACAAGAATGTCAACGCAGAAAAGGTCATTAGAAATTATGGTTCTTACTGTTTTTAAACAGTTTTAAGCCCTTGTCAAATGTACATTCTGCTCATGTCATGGCTTGTCAAGAACTTTGAAGGATTTTATTGGGTGATTAGTAATATAGGCTACATATTCTTTAATATTACAGGCAAAAACACTACTTTGAGCAGAAAAGGCGGCAACAGCAAGCGACCGGAGGGAGGAAAGATTCTGAGGAGCACAATATCCATGGGCAGCATGCTGAAAATAGTAGATCTCTGGATATTCTAAGTTTTCAGAACTTATCAACTGTTGTGCAACAGAACAAGTCAAATTACCCTTTAGGTTTGTTTGTTTTTTTTCCTAGTCCAACTCTTAAAGGGTTACGGGCTGCCTTTTTTTTTCTCCCTTTGAGCTACTTTATGGGAAACAATGATGGGGCATGCTTGCATTTTTATTTCTTTTACCTAACAGTTCCATTTCCCAGGATAGGAGATCCTGGTCAACTGTCAGATTCGGTTAAACTTCAACAGATCTTTTTATTGTTTTACTTTTCCTCCTTAAATATAAAATACTGCATGCTAGTAAACTACAATTTTTGTGCTACTGTGAGAAGTAGTTGGGTTTGTGACTTTAAATGAGTATAGCTAATGACTTCTATCCCTTTGGGTGCTTACACCTGTACTTAATTCTGCTGATGAGACTTAGCATGACTGAAGTCCATCAGTTGGTAGTGAATCTACTAGAGCAGCAAATCATTTGCATCATTATATCTAGAACCTGTTAATTACTATCATTGAATATAAAGTTGTTAGACTTGAAAACTTCAGGAGTGCTCTACTTCATTATTGCTTGTTGGGTGCTGTGGTCATCCTATGTGTCTGATCTGGACGTCTCATGCTTAAGTTGCCTAATGCCTTGATGAAATTGACATGTCTGTGTATGCTTCCTGAGTCCTTTCTTGACCATGCAAGGAAACGATGAAACAGAGCACCGTGCTCTGAACTATCAAGCACTCAAGTGTCCACAATCAATACAATGTTTTCAAGCTAACAAATTCACACCTTCCGGCCCCTCTGAAGCTGAGGAAGCAAGTATGCTGCTCAAATTAATTGAATTTTTTTTCTTTTGATCAAGTTTCTCTGCTTGTCTGCTAATCTGAGGGCTGGAGATAATAGTACCCAAATTTGTGTTGTTATAGGACTTTCATCAAGCTATCAACCAGGCAGTTCATACACAAAGACGTAAGTATATTCACAAAATAATGTTTAGTAATTAAAACTACAAATAGTCAATTATATCTTAAAATTCGCATTCACAAGTATTCTTTGAACTGGTAGTATTCTGAAGTGATTATTCAGCATCACAAAATAATCTTGGCTGGCTATTGAGTAGTCATTGATATACTTGTTCTCCACTCTGGACTGCCAAGTTTAAGCAGTTATTGATCTTCATGCTTGCTGATTTTTTTTTTTTTGGAAAGTCTTGAGCATAATTAACACCTGCAATGCTATCAGGATGTTGGTTAGCACTTCTGGTAAAGATGCAAGAACTTTCAACTCAGATGATGACAAGATAAATCATATAAAAATGGTCCCAGGGTATCAAGGTAACAAAAGTTTGGTTGAATATATATCATTTTATGAAGTTGCATTTACAATCTGCACTGGTATACTGAATGTCAGAAAAGAAAGAAGGGATGCCAGAAGCAAAATTTGGAGTCAAAACCATCCAATCGTTGTATTCAAGTAAAGAGCTATATGGATCTCGTATCTTTGCATTAATTATGTAATTTCCTTTCCTGAACTGTTTACAGAACTAGGTATGATGGACATACTTGGAGATGATGAACCAAATCTCCATACTGGTTCAAGTTTAGAACATGAAGCTCATGCTGCATTTTCAATTGAAGGTACAATGTACAAGGCTGATCAGATAATTCTACTTTTCTCTTATCCTTATTTGTGAAAATGCAATTCCCTAATAAGTTTAATTGTTCAACAAGGAAACAGAAACTACATTTTTCAGTACCAAGATTGTAAGCTTCCAGTTTGTGCTGCTTGTCAAATTTTCTTTTGAGTTCTATACGTGTCTGGCTTAGTTGAGTATTTGCAGACGCATGTGATTAGAAGTAAAAGAAAATTTTCTCAGCAAACAGGCGTGTTTTGGCTAAAATTAATGATAGTTCAGAATTGGAAAGGATTAATGCTTGCTTTAATCTTTTACTACCCACTGTCACTTGAGATCAGTGTCACTCTCGTTACTTTGTTCAATAGATTTATCCACGTATTGAGCATTTATGATCTCTATGAACATACATGATGCATGATGCACCAATGTAACTGAATGTGCACTTGGTTATCAGGTGTTGGTAGAGTGGAAATGGAGACTCCAGTTCATACGCCAGTTCGTGCACCAGAGGTGCATGGCAGGTAAGATATCTTTAGTGTGATACAGAGAACAATCTTTTGAGAAGTGACTAAAATTGGTGCAGACTAAATTTGGACCCAGTGACAAACTAATCTGACTTGTAGTGGTGGTGTTAGATCTAAATCCCATGCAAACAAAGTCTGACAAACTTTTGGCATTAATTCAGTTGAATATCTTCCCACATATTATGCCAAATTCTGACAACCTGGATATTGTACTGACTTAGTGGCTTGTTGGAGCTCAATCATTAGATCAAATACTTTAGCTTAAAATGGAGTACTTCTGAGTCAACTCTTAATACTAAGCCAATGTATTTATGTGGCCCTAGTACATACCTGAGGTATTAAAATTCCTCGTTTTGTCATGTGGTCAAATCATGTTAAGTGATGCAATGGTTTACAGCATCTTCCTATAATCTTGCTTTTGGAGAATCTTATTTTTATCTACTTCATTTTTAAGGATAATATTTCATCATCAGAAAAATGATATAGAGTCTTGGTAGAATATACGCTAACACAACACATCAATGTGACCACCTTTTCCTTCCAATACTTCATTTTCTTTTTCATTATCTTGTCTGCCAAGTCCCAGTAAACACTGGCAAATAACCCATCAATGCAGAGGTCATCTTGATCAGCAACCGCCAAACATGATAGCAGCAAATAGAGGAAAGATGGATAGGAGAGGGGGGAGGTGCACTGGAGGAGGGGGTGGGAAGACTCTGAAAAAGTGTGGTGAATGAGGAGAGAGAAGAAAAGAAAGGGGGCAGAGCTTAACTCATGTAGCTTTCATATAACTAGCATTGCTTAAGGATTTCAACTAATGTATGCTTTGATATTTTAAATCAATGTATTGCTTTGATGTTTATCTTTTGTATGCTTTCTCTTTGCTTAGGCATCCACAAGCCCTTATGGATGGTTAATGGAATTGCATTCATAATAGTTTCTTTAGTAGAGGATGCCATTGTCATGCCATCAAATATATTCTTGCTTATCAAAATCCATCATTAGAAAAACCCTTCCTGTTTCACCATTTGCTGTCATAAATACTTCAGTTTCCGCCTCTGCATTCAGAACTTCCTCTTCATAAGCATCATTGAGTTATAGGTTTATTCTCATTTTTATAGTTAATCTCTCAAGAGCCACAGTTGAAGCATTGTGTGAAGAGTGAGTTTGTGCTGTTTGACTGCAGAAACTTCTTGCATGGTTGCTCTCCACCATCAAAAGCTATGAGGCCTGCTGACTCGTTCAACCTTAACAGCGAGCTGGTTAACCTTGAATTTGAATTGGTAATGCAAATGCTGATGCCTAATTTCTACTGTCAAAAGATTGCTTCGTCAACTATGTATTGAAAATCTATATTCAGTAACATGGTATCTCGTTGTCAAAAGAGTCAATGCTTCATTTTCATGTCAAATTCCCTCTTGAAGTGTCAAGTTCTAGTCATTAATCCCTCGCTAAGGTTTCTAATGTTCTATTCTTTCTTGATGTTCATCTGAAACTTAAATTTAGCAGTGATGTTCGTCTGAAATTTAAATTTATCTGTGAATATATAATCTAAATCTTATCAACAGTTTTAAATTTCTTTACTGGAGCTTTTCTTACCAATTCTCAATTGGAGTGCCTGGACGGGATTTCTTTTATTCAATTTTACATATGATCATGCTTTTACAGAAAGGAAACTAAAAGGAGCATCTTATTATGTTGTACTCTTGCTTATCTGTGAAACTAACGGGTGCTATCTGTGCCTAGTATCACAATAGAGAAAAACTTATAGACATCTTTTATTGCATTTGATCTTTGTTGCTGACTTCTATCTGTGTTGGTCTTTGTGATTTAATACCTGTTGATTTTAAAACAAAGAGCTATATATATGTGCCTTGATATGACATTATGGTAGCTCTGAAAATTGTTGCTAAAAGGAGTTACATGCTTTTTCAGCATTCTGCCTCCACATGTATGGCTCTTGATGTTTCGTTTGTTATTGACTCCAGCATTCCTTGTAATTATTGATATCATGGAGTAAGTATTTTGATTGATGTAATGCAGGATGCTATGATGCAGGAAGTTGATGTGCCCTTATGTAAAAGTTCTGTGGAGCACTCTTTCTGTTCAAAGGACATATTGGGTTCTTTCAGCAAGCCAAAGCAAGATTTGTTGGACACCAGAGAATTCTCAATATTTGATGACAATGATAATGGTTTTACTGATCTTTTTCAGAATGATGAACCATTCTTCCACAAAACAGAGAGAAATAGGCACAGTTGGGATGGTAATGCATATTTCTGCATCTTTTTTTGGAAGGACTTTAAGGTCAATCTTTAGTTTGGGAGCTATTAACATCAGTTTGAAGAAGCATTGTCATTCTTAATGCAAACTGTTTTTTTGGGGGAGATGGGAGATGTATTAGCTAGTCTTGATTAGAGTTTTGAAACACCTATATACAGAAGTAAAAAAATTGGGTTTGTGGTCTAAATATTTATTGAACATGCTGTACCATGCGCTTCATTGTTTGTTTGGCATCCCCATTTGCTTCATGTTCAGGCTCTTCTAATGTAATAAATTTTAATTTACTATTTATTTAATGTCATCCAGCAACCTGTAGGCCTGTAACTGGCAAAATTCTTGACGAGAGTGCTTTTGGTTCATCTTGCAACATTTGGATGGATCAAGAAGATGCTTCTGATGATTATTATACCATGGACTGCAGGAGTGAAGAATTTACTTTTCAAGGCTCTTATCGACAGAAGAGCAGGTTTTACATACAGGAATTGACCTATATTTGACTAAAGCATATAGTACCATCTGATATAGATTAATCGTCTTACTGCGTTTGTGTAGGACTACAATGAGAAAATCAAAGAGACTCGGACATAGAGGTGCTTTTCAGTCCCATTCTTTGGTTGTCTTTATTGTATTTGTTAATTCTGATTTAGCTATTCTGCACTTCCTCAGCTGCTGGCTGCTTTTCTTTATTAGGTGCTTTATTATTCTCAGCTATGGAGTTCATTCTCAAGTTTTCTAATTTTTGTTCTCAGTCTTCCTTCAGTGATTTTGGAGTCTGTTGTTCTGTTGTCTTCATTTCCTCTACTGTTTAGATCATACCAGAAACTTGAATGTTTATCAGTTAGTGATCGCCCCTCCATGTTTTATGTCCTTTTTTATTCTTTTCTTTATTACTCTCTTTATTTATTTATTCTTTTTCAGATTCACCTGAGCTATATGTGAAGCGCCAGAACTCAGAGAACTTTCATGATTCCACAATTCCGGAGATGACATGGTAAGAAAGTTCAATAACATAGCCCATCTCCACCAGCATGCTCGTTTCTACTAAACTCCATAACTTTTATATTGGCAGGAGATCTCCAGTTCACAGAGACCATGATGTTGGTGATATTGATTACCAACCCACATGGTCATGCTTCAAAACTGAAGATACAAGAGACAATTTGAGTTTGCTGAGGTCATTATACCTGGCTGTTCTTGTCTGGAAATGTCATATATGTTTCTCTATAAACTAATTTCATCTCGATTAATTTCTTGACAGTGAGGAGTCATGCTCGTCGAGCGCAGGTCATATTTAGTGGTGCAGTAGATATTTGGCTTAATTATCACCCTACAAAATACACTATACATACCTTTTGATTCTCTTTTCAGTGGGGGGTGTATCGAAGAAAGGCACATTGAACTCAACTGAGAAACAGACACCGAAAAGTGCTGATTTTGGTTGCTCAGAGAACATCTGTGGTGAAAACATTATGTATGGCAGAGTAAAAACCTGCAATAAGTTGGAGATTAACCAGCAAGGGGACAACACAAATGAGCAAGGAAAGCTTACTAGGATTTCAAATTCATCAAGATCGCAACCAGCTGATAACTCAAAAATGACTTCTGAGAAGAGGTTGAAATCAGAGAATGGCCGATTGTTTGAGGAAGCATATGATCCTGGCAAGACAATTTCACGTCATAATCCTTATCCCAGGACATATGATACAAATCCAAGCTCCAGACTTTGGATTGAAGATCTCTTTGGCACATCCGGAGGTACCAATGTGCATGCTGATTGCTCACCTTGTTGCAACCTGACATCAGAAGAACATGATTCCCACCAACGTAAGTTGGAAAAAGTTACGCCAGTGTCAAGTATGCTAAATTTTTCTGAGCACTGCAATAGGGGGTATAAACCTCAGAAGTCAATGCATGGTCACAGTTTTCCAGAATCAGAACTGCAAAGCATTACCAGGGAGGAAGATGAACATTCTGATCTCCCTGTATCTGAACATGGAAAACTGGAGCATTGGAGAGAGCGTTCCCGCTGCAGAAAAAGCTTATTCTCAGGATGTGGGAAGTTTATCTATGTAGCTGATGTGGAAGACAAGTCTAGTGATTGCAAGGAATCCACTACTGAGGCTTCAAAATTATCCTCAGGATGTCGGAAGTGTACTTGTACGCCTGATGAGGAAGACAAGTCTAATAATTGCAAGGAATTCACTAATGGGACTTCAAAAGCCGGAGAGAATGTGAAAGAAACGGATTGTCTCCAAGATGAAGATGCATCACCATCTGGGGCTACTTCAAGTATTGATGGCAATTCGTCCCATGTAGATGCTAAGTACGTGAATAGCATAAAATCTGTTTTGTACCTTCAGAATCTTGTTCTTTCGCAGGAAAAAGAGAACGTTAAATTAGCCTAATTAATTCTTCATTGTGGTTAGATGTCAGGTTAATGCTCAGAGCTCTTTTTTGCATCAAACTGGATCCGGAGGTAAGTAAAATCTACTACTTTTTTTTTTTTTTTATCTTTGAACTGACTTTTTATTGTATGTTGTGTTATTGGCAAGAGTCGAATCTGCAGAGACTGCTAATCAGCTGTCTTTTGTTCTTCCCAACTAGCAAATCTGGAAGAAGGATTTGGGCATGAAGAAAGGACAGGAAGTGAGGAGAAAAGTAGTATTGAGTCAACATGCCAGGTGATGACGCTTGATAGCTGTGTCCTGCAACTTCTTTGCATTCAGGTACTGAAGGAAGCATCTGCTAAGGTAACGGGGAAGAAGGCTTGAAGCTTTGAGCATATTGAATTCCTTGGCTTGTCCTGCATTGCCCCTACAACTTTTTCTCCTGCTAAAAGTTTGTCAAGGGATATGTACGATCAATTAGATCTCAGATTATTTGACATGACTTTGCTTTGTCCACGATACTCTCTTGCTTGATTGGCAGTTCTTTGATTAGTGTGAAGTGAATGGAAAAGGAATGGGCCGCAAGCAGAATTTATTTCTTTTTCCTTTTTTTTTTTTGGGGCCTCATGAGATTGCTTTGGAACATTTTCTTAAATTAAAATTTCTTTAGATATTAATGGAACAAAATATGAACATACAAAAGAGGATCGTTCAACTGATAACAAGTTTGATGTTGATACAAATCTCTGCCTACCTAATACCTTTCTTTCTATCAAATCCATCATTTCAGAGTTGCTAACTTTTATCTCCCAATGCAGAGCTGTCCTTTGGATGGGTGGCTTAATTTCATCATATAACATCTCAATTTCATTACATCTGATTGATTGAGAGGCTTTAGCATGAATTCTTGAGCTCCTTCTTCCAAGCACCTAATTTGAGTTAACAAGAATTGAGGCATGTCAGAGTTGATTTCACGTATATTTCTGGGTTTCTTTCTAAGCATAAACTTTTAACGCTATTAAATTTGCCTCATGTGCCACTTAGATTAAAATTAGTAGAATTTGCAGCCTGATTATTACTCCTTAATCCGGGTTGGGACGTTCTCAGATGATACTATGACAACTGGTATCTCTCTCAGTCTGGATGATTCCTGTTCAGTAACGAAACATGTTAAGACATTCGTCATGAATTTGCCAATCTATAAAAACGAGAGCTTGCTTTGAAAATGCATAAAGTGAAATATGGCTCACCTTGACCTTCTTCAATAGCTCATACCCTGTCATCCCTGGCATGCAGTAATCGGTAATTATCAAGTTTATCTCCGACACCTGCAAAATGTATCAATCAATTGCAGTCATCAGAAAAAAATGAGCTAGAAAAATATAAAGTAATAGTCCATATCAACCAAAAAAAAAAAGTTGTAGCATTGACGAAAAGATTGAAGCGTATAACTTGCTTATTAAGAGCTGCAGATTTCATTCACCTATTTATCAACTTAAAAGCAAGTTTTCTACTTACACAGTTGTTGGCGTGTTGTCCATCTCCCAAGCCTAAGACCTCGAGAGCCCTTTGCCCGTTCTCTGCAGTCGTAACTACCACATAAAATACCGGGGACCAATTCAGCGCAGAATTATTGTACGATCTACATGGTGCGAAATTGGCATTTGAAATACAAGTGTATATTTTTTTTCTACTAGAAATTGGCATTTTTTAAGCTCGCTTCTTGCCCTCAACTCATTTGATGTCCAACAATAAACCATTTTCAGCCCTTGAAAAAAAGTAGTAGCAGCAGCAAATTTGAAGGCGATGATGTGATAAAACTGCATCAGTTGTGATTTTCAGGATTAGTTGGCATGAATCTTGAAGATCTTGTTGAGGAGGATTTTTCAGTGAACCAAAACAAAATTGTTCTTTCCAGAAATTGGGGTTAGGAAGCATCACACCCCGTCACATTCGACATACACTACTAGTACTACTAGTATCTACTATTACAGTAAAATCAGCCAACAATTAATTACTGCTACATGTGACATGTCGAGCAGTAAATAACCAAGCAGAGTATTAGGAAGGACTGATGTCAATTTGTCAAAAATGGTTGGTTAAAGATACGCAAGCCGTCACCTCAATCAAGCCCACAATTTTCTGCCAGATTAGAAACATGCACAAGGCGTGATGTTGTTAAAAGCGTTAGATATACCGTACTACTGGCTACTGCCACCCGGACTAATCTTCCCGAAGCTATGGCATCATTTAAGCGGCGTAACTGGTGGGGCTGGGGTTGGGGTCGGGCAGTGACGGAGCCAGGATTTTTTTTTTGGGGGGGCCAAAATTGAAATTCCATTCAAAGATGACTAATTCATATATATATATATATATATATATATATATATATATATATATATATATCAACTCTCATAATATAAACTAAAATTGAAAAAATTTAGGGGGGGCCAATTTTATTTTACACACATATTTACATATTATGAATTAAAATTCTCAAAACTTAGGGGGGGCCATGGCCCCCCTCTGCCCCTACTTGGCTCCGTCATTGGGGTCGGGGTCGGGGTCGGGTGGTGAGTAAAGGATAACCACAAACACTACTCTGACAACGTCGCCCACGATCCATTGTCCATCCTCGTTTCTATACTGACTTGACTTGTGAGGTTTGAAGAGATTTTTAGGCTTGGTTGCCACTTGCCAAACATCTTCTTTTTTTTTTTCAAAAGAGTAGTGGCTTGAGCGAGTGAATTATACAGAGAGAGATAGAGAGAGCAAGAAGAAGCCTGAGAACCTGTGGAAAAAAAAAGGGAAGGAATGAACAAATGAATGGTTCATTACCTTTGCATGCAGAGCTGGTGAGGAGCTTCTCAATGAGTCTGCGATCTACTAAACTATCGTCCACTGCTAAAACATGGGGTCTCTCATCCGATTCTCGACCTCTTGAAGAAGATGCCATAGCTGCTAGCTATAGAACCCAACAAAAAGCAACCGACAAAGGCTCTTGTGAGAGGACCAAGACACTCATTAATTATATGTCTTCTTCTGAACGCTAAACGACCGACTGACGAGCAGAGGATTTTAACTTATGGTGAGGGTGGGGAAAGGGGAATGGCAATTGCCACTAATACTTATAGGGGAAACTGGAAAGGAGAGGATCCCCTTATTAAGACAATAATAATGTGGGTACTAAATCTCTTTTCGATACGCAAATGCATATGTAGGGAGGGGAAAAACTTGTGGAATCGTGATAAAATCAAGTCACAGATATTACGTGATCTTTTTGGGTTTCTGGGACAAGGTTGCAGACATGGCAACAGAGGAGAGAGAGGAAAAACAAAGAGAAAATGCATCAGTCTTCTTTTTTCGCGTCCCTCTTTCAAAGTCTTTTTAGTAGAGAGCATTTCCTCCCTTCCTGATTCCTATCCTACGCGGTAGCAGTAATATATCTTCCTCTTCCATTATATCCTCTTCATCTTTAGACAGAGATCCTTCCAGCTCAGTACTGATTCCTGCCTTTTTTGTTCTCGAGATGCACTGCATACCCTTCCATTCACACGGGAGTAGAGGATTAAGGACGAATTTGTCTCATTTTGGCAAAAGGCTACTCCATCATGCCATGCCCCATGGCCCATGCGTGGGTTGATTCTGTGTAATACTGGTCATGTTACTGTATTCTATTCTTCCATTCTTTATTATTCTCTAAGCCAGCGTTAAAAAGCCCGTCAACTTTAGTACTACTACTTATTTTTTTCTTGACTATTATTACGTGAACAAACAAAATCAACAGAGAATTTGTTGGTTTCTTTTATTAACTTTTGTTAAGAAAAAAGAACCCAAAAAAGGGATTAAATTCGCATCACTTCGAATTTGTATGGCTATTCATCTTCTTGACCTTCAGAACAAACGCGGTAGATGATAATTATATTATACTTTCCTTGCTTGAATATTTGATTTGGCAGAAAAAAGATGTCACCATATGGGAGAGTGAGAAATCCAAGTTGACTGTGGAATAGATCTGAACCATCAATTCATGTCCGAATATGTGCCTAATACGGCATCGTAATTTTCAGAATAGGGGGAGAAAGTTAGAAGATTCCTAATGCTTATGTTAGAAAGAGCAATTAGAGAATCTGCTTGTGCAAATTTTGCTTGATTGTACGAATCTGACCAGCCGTGCAGCAAGAAAAAGTCTGAAACGAGATATGAATTTTTCACGTTGATTTTGAGCAGATATGAAACAAGAAGATGGTATGTATGATTTTTTGGGTCACTAACCAACTTGTTAAAGAGATAATAATAATTTGATCGCAAATGTATCATTACACTCTTTGTATCGTCTAATTGAATTTTTCCCTTTCATTGGAGATATAATTTAGTTGGGTTTCCCTCTTCAATCAAAGCCTTTTTTTTCCAATTCCTATCATAACATAATTCAGTTGTCCCTTAAAAGTATAGTATAGGCGTTGTTATTTGTAAAAATTTAAAATAAAAAAATAATTTGAGGTCTGTCAATCGATTATGATATATGAATCTTCGTTTTACACACACATATTTATATATATATATATATCCGACTGTATGTAATAATTCTTCGTGTATTTTTTCATTAAAATTTGTATATTGATATGACTCTTGTAATCGATGATGACAGAGGAGACGGAATTGTGGCACGTGAAATTATGGGTGCAAACTAATACCTCCGTGACAGTCTTATTGATACCGCAAGTACAATTAGCATGCGCATCTACGTACAGTACGAGTAAAGAAGGTGACTAAAACCTGTAAATAGTAGGCTTGACTTTTTACGCTTCACATTATTGAATGAAAATGCATCAGATGCTAGCTGTAAACAAGGAAACATACACTACTAAAATTTGTACAGTGGCAACTCAACATTCGAACAACTGCTTAATCCAGAGTGTACGTCAGCCCAGAGTTCCAAAAGAAAAACAAAATTCAATAAACCGTAATACTAGCAGAAAAACCACTCAGTTGCCACCAGGAAGGGACTTAAGTCCCTCTTTGGACGGTAGGTGAGAGTTCAAATCTTACCTACAGTAAAAAAAAAGAATCTAAGAATAGTGTCATAGCACTTTCTTAATTTAATTGGATATGTACACCTACTAGCTCCTAATACAAGTCTCCTTAAGCTCCCTCTCCCCCTAGATTAGGACAGAGTAGGTTATACAATGTATTTTTGCTGGCAAAAAAAAAAAAAAAGTAATACAAGCAGAAAACCAACAATATTATATCAGCGGCTTTTGGATTGTTAAAAACCCTGCATATATTTATTACTATATCTTCAATCTGCATGGAGCCTCTAAATGAATAACAAATTGACATTTCAAGGGTTGCATAAAACTCGCATTTGCAAGATGTTGATATATTATTCTACCAATATCATGTGCATGTTTTTCTTCGGTGGGTAATCTTTAATGTGCATCCATCCATATCAGCGTTTAACAAGCACTACTATTTTAGTGGAAGCGTACATTTCCAGAATGTAAGGTTGTGTTTGGATTGCATTTTTCATGATTTTTCATGGAAAAATTACTGTAGCGATTTGATGTATGTGAGGAAAAAAGGTAATAGGAAAATG